GCTAAAAATCACACAAGCCATATTTGTTTCAAATAAAAAATAAATTATATTGCCGATCCAGAAAGAATTACAAAATTTTGATTATCAGGATTGTCGGGTACTCGGGAACTCGGCTAAGTCGAGTTATTAGAAAAGATATGTAACATGTGACATATATATATATGATGGCGTAGTATAAAGTATAATAAAGTATAAGTGTATATACTATATAACAAGAGGTTATTTTCATGGGGAAGCTTGGCATTAGTGTTTGGATCCGTAACTGGATTCAACCGGATATATCCGGATAATTTTTTTTTTCGGATATCCGGATAATTGTGGTTTTTACCCGGATAAGAAACTGGTTAAAAATTATCCGGGTTGACCCGGAATCCGGATAAAAAAAATTTTTTTTTTGATTTTAATTTTATCCTTTTAATTTTCATTTCATTTGTAAAATATTCTATTTGTATCATTGATTTATTAATAAAAAAAGATTTATTTGTCTAATAAAATTATTTTATCATGATTTAGAATTTATTTTATATAATACAATAAATCTTATACTGTTAGAATAGAATTATTCAATAAAAGAGTAAAAAAATATAACTTACTAAAAGATTTATCATTTTATTTAATAAAAGTAAAATTCACTTTATTTAAAAACATTTACATAATAAAAATAAGACACTAACAAAAATAAATTTAATATCAATTATTCTAATACATCCTCATCCTCCACAAAATCATTATTTTCCACTTCTAAATCTGGTGGAAATACATTAATATGATCCATAGTTTGCATGTTGCGTTTTAAAAATACCATTTTTCCTACTAAACCAGGATCCAATAAACTTCTTTTTGCCGTAATGTGATTCCCTGCATCAGAAAAAAGTCGCTCAGAAGCTACAGAAGTAGCAGGAATTCCTAAGTATTTTTGTGCAATAATAGAAAGAATTGGAAAAATTTCTTTTTTAGTCTTCCACCAATTTAATGGATTTTTATTTTCTCTAGCAACTGGCAAGAGAAAATAAGTAGTAATTTCATCAGCTATTGTTGATGATGCAGTAGATTTTTCTGTTGTTTGAAATACTTTTCTTATTGATTTTTCACGCATCTCTCTATACTCATGTAAAGATCTTGTACTGGGAGTTGAACTTCTACTAGTATCAGCTGAAATTGTTGAAATTGGTGTAATTGTGGGTGATGGTGGAGTACTAATTTGTTGTTGCATTTCTCTTTTCAACTGATCATATTGTATCTGTAAACTTGAATGAATTTTTACTTTTATATTTTCATCAGATATAAAATTAAGATCTTTATATCATGGGTCTAAAAGTGCTGCCATAATGCCAAACTCATCTGGCATTGACCAGTAGTGTTTTAAGCCTATATATATATTTTTTTTTACATTTTTTAAAACTTCTGAAATATTATTATAATCTATTCCAGTTGACTGGTTAGTTAAATTCTCTTCTGTATCAGATATAATGGTATTATCATCAGGTTCTTCATATTCCTCATGTAAATTATCAACTGGTTTTAAGGAATTTGTAAGATTTGTAATGATGGGGAACATTTGACTTAATGTTATATAGGTACTTCCAGAAAAATCTCGTGTAGCTTTTTCAAATGGTGCTAATATATTACATAATTCATCCAATAATTCCCATTCATTATCCTTTAACACAAGTTTTTTTAATCTATTACCATCAGCTTTTTCTTCAGGTTTGAGAGAACATGACAAATTTATATTTAGTTGAAGTACTGCATATTGAAGAAAAATAAGCCTATCCCATGCTAAATAAGAAGAGTTCCACCTTAAATAATCAAATAAAATTACATCAAATTTTAATTAAAATTATAATAATAAAATATTAAAATTTAATTGAATAGTAATTAATTAAATGTAAAAAATTTACCTAGTAGATATATCTTGTATTAAATGGTATGTTTCTTCATAACCAATGTCTTTTTGAACGTTAATCAGTCTTTCAATTTGTTTTTGAGTGGAAAAAAAATTGATTAATTGTTTTACACGTGATACCAAATCTTCTACAACCTTTAAACCTTTATTAATTGCCAATTGTAAGGTATGGGCAGCACAGGAGAGTCTTTTAATTGGTTCTAAATCTCGAATGGCAGCTACTATATTAGCTCCATTATCTGCTGTTATTGATATAACCTGGCTTTCAATTTCCCATTTTTGAATAGCTTTTTTGATTACTTCAGTAATTGCTTGTGCAGTATGTGGGGTTGGAAAATAAGAAATTTCAAGCAAAACATCCATTATTTCAAAATCTTTATTGATCCAAGTTGCTGTTAAACCCAAATATCCATGTTTTGAACGAGAAGACCATAAATCAGTAGTTAAAGATATTGATTGAGCAGTTTTTAAAAGTAGCTTTAATTTATCTCTATTATACCCATAACTACGAGCAATCATCATTCTTATTTTTTTTGCTCCAGGAACTGTGAATATTGGATCAATAATATGCATATGCTCAATATAGGCCTTATTAGTTACAGTAGAAAGTGGTTGGGTTGTTAAAAGAATCCATCGTAATGTAGATAATTCTTTTTCTTTTTGTCCATTAATATTGGACATAGTAGATTGAGTTGGCATTGATTTATTTTCAGATGTAATACTTTCTGTAGGTGGTGTAATTCCGTGTTTAATAGCATGGTAACTAAGATTTCCTGTAGATCCATCTGTTTTGAACATTTTTTCCCATTTTCTAATATAAACTGACAATATGCACGTACCTCTTCACTTTCATTTTGCTTTTTAACAAAATAATCCCATACCCAACTTACTTTTGTTTGTGGCTTGATTTTTGAAGTAGTTTGCTTAAAGGGATTTGAATCATTTGATATTTGACTTGTTGATTCAAATGCAGTTAATGATTCTTGATCTGATTTTTCACTAGTACTTGCCATTTTTTGTTTTCCAAATGTTTTAGATGATTTTGCAGGGCGTCCTCTTCTTGATGGTATTGGAGTAATTTCTGCAATTTCATCACTAGAACCTTCATTTTCACTTAAGACAATATAATTTTGATTTTCCATAATTTTATGAATTATTTTATTTATTCAATAAATGAAATTATAAAAAAAAATCCAGAAAGATGGAAAATAAATGCACTATTTATTTATTTCAATTAAGGCTTAGAGCTAGATTAATTTTGATAAAAAATAAATAATTCATAAATCAAAATTTAATTAATAAAATTTTGCAAATTTTAATTGGCACAAATGTGCATAAATTTCAATCAAATAAATGCCACAAATTTAATCATATAAATGCCACGAATTTAATCATATAAATGCCACGAATTTAATCATATAAATGCCATGAATTTAATCATATAAATGCCACGAATTTAATCACATAAATGCTATGAATTTAATTTAAATAAAGCCTTGCACAAATTTAAAGCCATCAATTAATCAAATAAATGCCACGAATTTAAACAAATAAATGCTATGAACTTAATCATATAAATGCCACGAATTTAATTTAAATAAAGCCACAAATTAAAGCCATCAATTTAATCAAATAATGCCATGATTTTAATTAAATAAATGCCACAATTTTAACTAATAAATGCTATTGTTTTTATGATTAATTAAATAATTGCCACGAATTTAATTAAAAGCCACAAATAAGTACCACAAAATTTATTTATTAGGTTCCACAAAATTATCTGTTAAAACCGATCTACAAAAAAAATTTTTATATAAATTTATCCGGATTTCAGTTTTTATCCGGATATATCCGGATTTTTATCCGAAACGGATAACCCGGATAAAAACCGGATAATTTTTTTATTTTATCCAGATGACGGTTTCTATCCGGATCCAAACACTACTTGGCATGCTTTTAAAAGATCTTTTAAGTGAAAATTATTGTAAAAAAACTTCAATTTATGAATATGCAAATTGTTGATCTTTCTTTTATGAATAAGCTTCGTTAAAATAAATAAATTAATAAAATGAATAAACAAATGATGTTTTCGATTTATAATGAGTAAATTAAATATAGAGAAATGGCATATTCGGTTTGTTATAAGCTAAAATAGTAAAATAGTAAAAATTTAAGAATGTTGCCTGGGTGTGATTATATAGAAAAGATGTTATGTATAGAGACCTATGTAAGTAGTGTATAGTGATGTGCACTATACATTGATTTTGTGATTGTACGACATGACAAACATACTTTTTGTACGTACGTATACTAACCATATGTATTTGTATTACAATACAATACAATTACAACACGGTTAAAAGAATTTCCACTTGACATCATGACATGATTAATAGATTAGATATTTAATAATATTCTTCGCTCTAAACCTTCACAGTAATTTCATAAATTTGACACGTCATGTAATTAAATTTTTTTAATTAATAATTTTATTTTTTTGTTATTTTAAAATTATTTTCTATCTTTTATAATTAATAATGTCTTCTATCGACAATTTTTCAGATATAGAAGAATTTTCTGCAGAAGATTTTGATCAAGATAAGGTAAATTAGTTGTAATTTAATTTTCTTAACTGACGTCTAACAAATAGTATTTAAATAGAGCAAAGTTAATAATAATGAAAGTGAAAGCGAGGAAAATGAAGAAGTATTTGCTTTCTTCACTCAGAAATTACAAGTTCGAAAGGTAATACACACAACTACTCCTGTAGAATATCCGGAAACTTCTCCAAATGGAGTGGCAACAATATATAATATAACTGGTTGGAAGAATCATATGGATGCATTTTCAGATGTTAGTAAATATGGTTTATGTTAAATTTGATTTGATAATAGTAGTAAATATTTTTTAATTATAATTTTATCCTTTTTATTATAATAAAGATCCAATATTCAACCAATGGTGCTTGTGGCTCTGCAAATATTAAGGAATGTCCATTTTTTGGAGGAATTTCTGTTAAAAAAGATACAAGAAAATGTCAAGGAATTAAATATTGCCAGTTTTCTAATCCTGAAATTATTAATCAAGAGCATTGTAGTGTGGATTTTGACTCTGAAACATTTCAAAATTACACTAAACAACAAAATAATAATTCTAAGGAAGCAAAAACATATTCGTAAGTTATATTTTTAATTTTTAATTATGCTACTTTAGAATTAGATCATCTGCTGAATATTTAAAATTATAATTAGATTATTTTTAGCTGCAAAAGAATCTTCTTGTCCTTTTAAGAAAGATAATAATGTATCTTGTGATGGAAAAGCTCGTCTTGGAAAAATTGCCAATTATCAGCAGACTGAAACAACAAAGTATTTCATTGGATGTGACAAATATAAACAAAATGAAAAATGGCATCGATTTATTAATATTAAGCCAGAAGAAACCAACATTTCATTACTTCAACAATTATTTTCTGGTACTGCATCTGTAAGTATTTCTTGATTTCTTACATTTTTTTTATTTTTAAATTTTTATTTTTAAGCTAAAAAACATCAAATTATTTCAGATACAAGAATTATCACAATGCAGTATGATAATTCCAAGGAGTTGTAAGCGTAAAAAATGTGGTAATTTATTAAAAAATTCTTAATTAATATTTGATTAATGGTGTTTATTTAGTTTAAAAACATTAATTTTTAATTTTATCAAAATTAAGATATGCCACATACAGATAATGGAGCTGTTGTTCGTGGTGAAATAATTGAAAGGTCATGCTCTGTGCAGTTTATTAAAATTATCCCTCATGACATTACTAAATGTCCTTTTGTTGCACTTATTTGTATTGGAGTCCATAATCACCCCCCTCCTCCACCAGAACGAACACCTTCTGGAATTAAAAATAATTTGCAAATCTTAATTGAGCAAGCTATTAATCAAGATGATACTACAACTTCAAGATCTATATTATCAGGTAAATAAATATATATTAAATATTAATGAACAATTAATAATAGTAAAATATTAACTAAATTTAATTAATTTAATAGGAAATTTGATCAAAGCATATTTTAATAAATAAATTTTAGCAGAAATACATGTTTCCTTAAATAATATTGACAAGTTGCGTTACTTAGTAGGGAAGGCATACAAAATCTTACATCCATTTGGACAGGGAGTGATGGGTGTCTATCATTATGTGTCAAATAAAGATTCTGACTTGATTGATTATGTTCACAAAATTGGTAAGTTTTTTAAATTTTATTGATCTATATATAAGTAGTATATTAATATTAATAATTTAATCTATTTTATTTTAGATCTTTTCACAAATAATGGACAAGTAATCATTATATGTATGCTTCCTGAACAAGCAAAAAAGTTGATTACACTTGAATGGTTCCAAATAGATGTTAGCTTTAAACGGGTAAAAGGGGAAATAAATGAGTTCGAAATTAACACATATGATTCTAATTATCATTTGAGTAAGTTTTTTTAATTTTATTTTTTTTTAAAAATATTAGAAAATATATATTAATTTTATTTTTAAAGTATTGTCATTTTGTAGAGTATTTACAAATGTCTTTACAGCTGAGGGTTACCATAGATTATTTTCATCCCTATTTCAAACAATTTGTGAAATAAGTGCGTGGACAATGTATTAAATTTAAGCATATTCATAAAGAAGGTGTTGGGTGCATTTTAGCAGATTTAGACGCAGCGCAAGCTAAGGGGTTGGGTTTAGCCTTATATGATTTGGATTGTAAAAGAAACTGGGAAACTCATTTAACCTTTATTTTCAAATCATGTATTATACACTTTCAACGGTATTTATATAATTTCATTTATTTATTTCTTTTTAAATATTTAATTTTAATTTTTTATTTTAATTTTTTAGAAATTTGCATAATAAAGCATTTAATGTAAATACCAAGAATTTAATAAAGCAAATTCCTAGTGCACCTAGTAAAGAAGCCGTTTATGATCTTTTACAACAAATTAGGGATACAAATGATAATGGAATAAAAGGTAAAATATATTTATATTTATCTTATGTTAATTATATGTTTAAAATTTTTCTAATAAAAAATTATTTTTATAGAATGGGTAGATTATTATCAACAGTCATATGTATTAGCATCATTAAATCAATTTATTTCAAATATTGATCCTGAAATTTGGCTTAAAAGCGGATCAAATACAAATTATGCTGAAGCAGCTCACTCTATGGTAAATAGAGAAGGAAAACAATTGTCATTATTATCAGCCATATTAAGGTATACTATTTTATTAGTAATTTAGCATTGTTATATAAAATTATTAAACTGATATAAAATTTTATTCTATATATAAAGAGGAAAACGATTTGATGAACGATGCTACAAAACAATAGACATCTGTAATAAATCAGGAGTTCCTTACACTCATCGGGACAGAAGTGAAATTAAAAGAACACAAGAGTCAATAACACGTAAAGGTAAACATATTATATAAAAATTATTTTTAATTATTAAATTTTATTTGTGTAAAATTCTAATTTTTTATTATATTATACATAGCATCTCATAATCAAAAAAGTAAAGAATCTGTTATTGATTTAACAAATGATGAGTTGCCTACAAAATCATCATTAAAAAGATCTTCTGTTAATAGAAACAAATCATTGAAGAAAAGTAAACAAGAAAAAAGTGAAGAAATATCAACTATGAATGAAATATCTCAATTAGAAATTGAAGAAAGAAAAATGGCATTAAGGGAGCGTGCAGCTGAGGTTAGGAAAAAAGAGGCTGAAGCTGAAGCATTAGAAATAGCAAATTCTCAAAGAAAGAAAGAAAATGAATCGTTTATTTAGGTCAATCTTAAATATTTTTTAATAAAAATATGTTAGCTTAACTATAATAATAATATCTGCAACTGAAGTTAGAAGTATACAAATAAATGCATTACTTTTATTTTAAATAAAGTTTATATTTTGCAAGTACTTTTTACAATAAATCAAACAATTTTGTTAGTCTATAAAAGATAAATATAAATATAACGTAAGATGAATAAAGTAAATATGAAATATAGATGCAGTGGCGCAGCATATGGTTACGTGACACGTGTAGAATAGTTACTGCGGCTGCGCCTTATTATTTGTATTTACGTGCGTTTGGTCTCTTATTTCATTCATACGTACGTACGTTTTGATTTAATTAATATTATTATTATTTATTTGCCATGTATGTATGTGCAGTACACTCAGTGCAACCATACGTACATAGCAAAAGATCGCCATACGCTACACACAAGGGTCTCTATACGCTACATGTTTCCTAATTGCCCCTGGGTGTAACTTAGCTAATTTTTGATCGGCTAAACTTAAAATTTTATCGCAAAAGATATTTTAAAAAAAAAATTTTTTGCAAACATAATTATTCAAAATAATCTTATCTAATGAAATTTTATTTGCAAACATTAAAATTTCACACATTTACGATTTTAAAGAAAAAAATACTGTATTTTTAATGAAGTGATACAAATAAAAGAAACAATAACAATAAATAAAAAGATAAGTAAATTACAATGATCAAGGAGAAGATGCTAATAAAAAAATGAAATAACGATGGAGTATAAATGGAAAGTAATAGGAGATGAAAGGGAGTAATGATTGGAGACAAAAAGGAGAAATAGGACATGATGGAAGATGAAGAGAAGTGATGGGAGTCGAAAAGGATTGATGGGAGACGAAAAGAAGTGACGGAAAGATGAAGAGGAGTAATGGGAGACGAAAAGGAGTGATGAGAGACAAAAAGAAATGATAGGAAGTAAACAGGAAAGAAAAAGAAATAATGGAAAATGAAAAGATGTAATAGAAAATAATGGCAGATGAAAAGTATGGGATAATGAGAAGTAATAGGAGGTGAAAAATGATGAGAGACAAAAAATAAAAAAATGATCATGAAGGAGGTTGGGTAGCAAAAGATAATAATAGGAAACCAAATAAAAAATAAAACCATGAAGTAAAAAAAAAATGAAGTTAGTAAGAATGAAATATAAGATAGCCCTATGAAAAAAAAATTTCTTTAAAATATACTTATGTACTTATATATTTTTAAAATATATCTAAAATGTACTTAAAATTTTTAAATGTACTTAAAATATACTTAAAATTGCAATTTTAAGTATATTTAAAGTATGAAATTTTATACTTAAATTATATTTAAAATATACTTAAATTATACTTAAATTATATTTAAATTGCAATTAAGTACAAAATTTTACACTTTAAATATACTTAAAATTGCAATTTTAAGTATATTTTAAGTATATTTTAAAATGTTAAGTATATTTTAGATATATTTTAAAAATATATAAGTATATTTTAAGTACATTTTAAAGAAATTTTTTTTTATAGGGTAGAAATGAAATAAAAAAAAATAAATAAAAAATAAAAAACATACCTTTATTAATTGTAGAACCAAAAAGGAACTAAAAGGTCTAAAAAATGAAATAAAATTAGTGAAAATGAAATATGAAACAGAAACAAAATAAAAAAAAAAATAAAAAAAATAAGTAAGAAACAAAACATAAAGTGAAAAACAACTGAACCTTAATTGCAAAACTGGAAGGACTAAAGAACCTAAAAATAATGAATAAAAAACAAAGTGTAAGAATATAAGTTAGAAATAAAAATAAAAGAAAAAAAGAAAAATACCTTTGAGGCTGAAAGAACCGAGGGAACGAATCTATACTGAAAACGAGATTCGATAAACAAATAAACATGACGTGATCATGTGGCTAATCTGGCCAATCAAAATATTAACCAATATGTTTTTTATTTTATTTTTTTTATGAATTTTTTTTATTAACATTCTTTTATATATACTGTATATATATATTTTTATTTTTTTTATACTACACTCCATTCTGTTAAGAATATTAATATAAAATAATACACCGCAGGCACTTTTGTCTCTCGTTTGTTAAGGCATATTGGTGTTTTACCCGGTTTAGTGTAAGCGTTTGGCCCTAAGGTCTTCTCTTCATACTCTAAGTATTCGTTTACTTTTTTAAAATTTACTATGTCTGCTATGTATTTGTCGTATATCTCTTCAAACTCATCATAAAACTTATTCAAATAAATTTTGGTATTAACTTCTATGGCCTCCTCAAAGACTTCTTTGTTTATTTGTGTCATATTTTAATATTTTTTGTTAGCGTTTGATATACAAAAATATATTTTATTTCTCCTGCAAATTTTGGTATTGAGGATCGGTGGAAGGAGTTCCTTCCCGGTTATATCCGATTTTGAAAGTAGTAAGCTTTATCTTAAATAAAAATTTCATTGGCCAGCGTGATCGTGACTGACAGGTAGCTTATGCACGTGTTGTCGTGTCATATCAACAATTTCATAGATCTGGATTTTACTTATTGTCTCCAAAACCAATCGAGTAAATTATACCTATTGATTACCAATTATGCCACTATGCAAATAAATTCCAATTATGCAAATAAATCTGAATATTAAGATACAAATAAATACTTGAAATTGATTTTTTTTTTAAAAAAAAAAAAAAAGTATTTAATGAGTAAATACTAAAATTGTTTTTTTGTCTATTATTTCAATTATTTTTACAATATTTATAGACTTGTTAAAAATCACTTAATAATAATACTCAAAAAAAAAAAATAGAAAATAATTCATTTCATATTTATTATGAAAAATATAAAAAGACAGATATCTGCAAAAAAAGCACAAAACACACACATAAAAACTC